CGCGGGATGAGGGTAGGTGGAGGGGGTTGGGTGTAGTCCGATACACGCTCGCTCATCCGAAAAGGAGGAGAAACAGCCGAGAAATCACCAACTCAATCATGGGGGGTAAGATGAATGTTGCTTTATTGAATGAATGAATGAATGAATGAATGGGTGGTCCAAAGGCCATAAAAGCTCTCTCGATGACACAAAGACACGACAACAAAACTTGCCAAGTCACCACTGCGCCCTCCCTCCTAGCCTCATGCCCCACCCACCACCCACACACTGCAGCCCCACCGCTCCACACACCCACAGTCGATGGGTCGATCGATCACGACAGAATGGCGTTGGTCCAGCCGTCGAAGGGTTGCCGACACAGCGGGCACTCGGGGGGCTGCAGGTTCTGCACACATTGCTGGCACACGCAGAAGTGGCCGCACGGCTGCAAAACCACCGATCTCTCCTGGGCGAGGCACACTTGGCAGTCGGTGCGCTCCTCCATCTGCCGCTGCATCTGCTCGCGGAACTCGGCCTGCTGCCTCTCGTGGGCCCTCTGTTGAGCTCTGGCGATGAGCGACTGCAGCTGCGGCAGCTCTGTGGTGGTGATGGCCGTCTGCCGGTCGATCAGCTGCATAGCAAAGCCGCTGAGATCGTCCGCAGTGGTCAGCCCTTGGAAGGTCTCACTCAACCTGAATGACACACCGACCAAAGCACAGGTGGTGCCTACCTTGAGAGGTGTGCCATTGCTCTGTGAGTGGGTACGTACCTGTCGATGTGATTGCTGCGGAGCTGGTCAATGTCAGCCTGCAGCGACCCGACGCTAGCTTGGAGGCTGGCGCACACAGGCAGCAGAACCAAACAGGGTCTGTAGGTCTGTGCAGGTTGTGTCAGCTGCCTGTCCCATACATACCTGGCGATCTCCTGCCCTTGGGATGCAGTTTCCTGTCTCAGCGAGGTATTTTCCTGCCTCAGTGACGTCTCCCTTTGAGCAGCGGCCCTGACACAAAATGAAGGAATGAAAAAAAAACCGGTGTGTAAGTGTTGCACCGGGTTAGTACCTCTTGGCTTGCTCGATGTGCCGCTGCATCTCGGTGACCTGCTGCTGACGGGCAGACCTCTCGCGATCAATAGCGCTGAGCAGGCCAGCAGCACAGCTGGACATGGCCTTGTGTGCGTCCTGTGGCTAGTGTAGGTAGACACCTGGTGAGTCGCTGGTGCTGTTGGCTGAGCTGCTGGCGGTAGACCTCATTGGCCTTCTTCATATCGGCCTGGAGCCGCTCGTTGGCCGCGAGAGTGTCGGCGACAGTCTGCTCGCCGGCCGCCTGAGCCTCACGCAAACTGCACACAGCAACGAAGAAGGGCACAGTCAGCTGGATGGATGAATGTGGTGATGCATTATGTACCGCTCGATCTCCTGACGGGCGGCATGAGTCTCCTGCTGGAGAGCATGAAACTGTTGCTGAAGGGCGGCCTCCCTCTCCATCGACTCATGCCTGCAGCCGGATAACACAACCACAGCGGTGAGTCCTTGCTTTTCTTTCTTGTGTTTCCTCTCACCTCGACGCTTCGCTTTGCCGGTCTCTGCGCATCAACTCAGCCTCGAGCTCAGCAATCCTGACAAGACCAGATACACCATCACTGTGTGACCAGACACTTCCAGCAATCGCCTCACCTGGCCCGCAGCGCCTCAGTCTCGTCTCCGCCACTCACACGACCGTCGTCACGACGCCCCGCCGCCCGTCCATCGGTCTCTTCAGCCCCCTGGCCAGTCAGACGCCAGTCACCACCGCCACCATGCCCACTCGCACCATCAATCGACAGAAGGTCGTCAACTTCACGCCCACCACCGGGCAGCGGGGGCATGGAGGCGGTCGTCAGAGGAAGCAGCGGCCCACTGGCAGCGCTTACGGCGGCAGCAGAACCGGCAGCGACAGCAGCGAGGAGACGGGCAGGCTCGAGACCGTCATCCCTCTCCTCTCCCTCCCCCTCACGCACCGATGGGCTGCTGTCTGCCGGGAGAGATGGCCCTGCTGCGGCCGACGGGAGAGGGCCAGACAATGCAGCAGGGGCGTTCGATGGTGTCTTGTTCTTGCGTCGTTTTTTCTTCTTGGCCTTCTTGCCGCCCTCGCCCCCCTCCTGCCCGCCCCCATGCTGCTGCTGCTGGTCGTCATCGCTGGAGAACTCCACACCGAGCTCTTTTCGGGCTGCGCGAGCACGCGCCTCGGCCCGCTTCAGCCGCTCCTGTGCTCTCACGTCGTCCTTGGGCGGCTGGTCGCCTCTCTTCTTGTCCTTTTCGGCCATGCGGGCGGCCTTCTGCTGCATCATATCGTGTTTGTGGCGCAGCTCGTCGCCCTTGTTCTCGAGACGGATGCGCTTGTTCTCGAGGCGGATCTTGATCTTGTCGATGTCGATGCGATGGTCGTCCGGATGGGAATCAGGAGACATACCAGCAATGGCCCTCTGAAGCGGCTCTGAAAGAGAAGAGAAGGCAGAGGCTGTCGGCAATGTAGGTAGACGTATTTGTTGGCGATCTCACTAACCGATCTCCTTCAGGAGCGTGCCCTTGGCAGCGTTGTTCCTGTTGATCTGCTCGGTGAGGCTGGTGATCTGGCGGTCGATGTCCTTCTTGTCGGCCTTGGACGCGGCCGCCTTCTGGGCCCTCAGGTCGCTGACCTTGGTCTGCAGTGTCGACAGCAGGTTCTCGATGACGGCAAGCCGCTTCTGCTTCTCCTGCAGTGCCTGCCTTAAGAATGCAACAATGACAACAAAGCAGATGCCAGTCGGTCCGCCACTGCGCGCCTTTTCGTACTTGTGTCTGCGCGATCTCGTCCTCTCCGTGAGGTGTGGGCCGTTGCTGCCCCGGCAGCCTGGTGGCTTCTGCACAAAACACATCTCATATACATAGTTTCCACCATCCAACGCACCCTCACTCACCGTTGAGGGCGGCGCGTGCGACGTCGACGTCCTCTTGGGTGATGTTGCTGATGGCAGGGTCGTTCTTGAGGGCCTCGAGCTGGTCGACACAGTCGCGATATCGAGTGACTGAGACGTTTTCGGAAGCGCTATCCGCTTTGGAGTCTTGGGAGAGGCGGGACAGGCTGTCGAGATAAAGTTGCAGCAACGGGCCCTACTCGTGACCGTCTGCCACCACGCCAGAGGGGCAGAGGCGTCATAGCAACTCGCAAAGGCGACCAGCAGACGCCGTTGTACATCGAGCAAATGCGATGAGCGCGACAAACAGACCAAGGCACCTGCACAGGTGCATAGACGGTCACACAGGTGCTCGCAGAGGTAGAATAGTACCCCGGCCAGTTGCGCCTTCACCTGTGCGGATGACCGGCTCTTCGTAGGCATACTTCTTGTTGATCTCCACGATCACGCCAATAACCGCTACAGGACAGGAGCTGGCATTGGCGAGAGGCACATCTGCATTGGTCCACAGGGATAGAAGGGTAGTTGCACAGGCCGACATGCCCTCTTGCACATGCACGTACGTGAGAGGTCCAGAATGAATGGTGAGCTGCTCCTGATTTTCTTCTGCTTGGCCCGCAGTCTCTCCTCCCTCCTCTGCCGTGCCGCCATCCGTCGGTCCTCCTCAGCTGCGTCAGCTGGCGGCGGCAGGCGAGCGTCGTCGGCTGCCCACTGACGCTCCTTGACAGCACGGGCACCGGCGAGCTCACTCTCACGCGCAGCATTGGCCTTCTCGACGGCTTCGTGGACCAATGAGGCAAAATCGCCACTCGACAGGAACTGCCCGCCGATGAGCTCGCCGAGCGGGACGCGTGCTGTGGACAAACACACAAAAAAGCAGAGATCATAAGAACGGATACAAGACCGGAAGGGAAGGGTTTGACGTACATGAGAAGGAAAGATTCAAGAGTGAGAGTTCCGTCACTGCGAAGCGGAGGAATGCCTCGACGACAGTGGCGGCCGAGCTAGCATCCAGATGGAGAAACCTGACGAGCCAAAGACGGGCTTACATGCACACACGTGAGGGCATGGGACCTACTTGAGGGCCTTCCGATGGGGATTGCTGTTGAGGCCAGTGTAAATGTCCATTCCGCCAAGAGTTTGTTGTAGTTGGGGCTCAGTGGCGCCTGCTGAGAGGATGACAACAGCCGGGATGCGCTGCACCCTCACTTCTCTGCCTCGACTGAATGAGAAGGCGATGGACCGACACAACACCGTGGAGAACAAGTCCTTTGCGGCTGCCTGTAGCGAGACAATTGAACATGGCCACACATGTGACTCGAGGTGCGGTGCTCCGCTCACTGCGAAATCGCGCGGACTGTCTTTCCCAATGTCAGAATCGGTAACAGTGATCGAGCGGAGGTCCAGGGTAGTCAACGACCAGCGAGAGAGGCCCTGCACGCACGCACACGACCGTTTTGACGCCAACCACTCACTCACGCGTGTCACGTTGTCTCACCTGGAGTAGACCGAGGAAGGCATCGAGCGGAGCAGAAGACAGTGGTAGCCCTAGGTCCCTGAGTTTGTTGAAGGGTCGCGCCTTCGTGACGTTCTCTCTGTCTCCCTCGCCCATCCCTTGTCGCTGTCCCCCGGCTGAGCCTGTTGGGAGGGCAGCGGATGATGTGCTGGGGGTGCGTGTCACGTCATGTGGCGATGATGATGGCGGGAAGGCACTGTCATTGCTGATGTCGCCCTTGCTGTCTTGGGCCACCTTGAGCAGAGTGGCCAGCCGGTGGGTGAATGCAGCGCTCATCTTGGCATTGGAGAGCTCCAGGGTCTGCAGTGAGGGCAGGCGGGCGATGGCATCGGCGAGTCGGATGCAGTCGTCGTCGGGGATCGCCTGCAAATCCACATCTGCACAGCACATACCATGTTGCGACAACCACATTGCAGGGGGGTGGTCCGCCCACCTCTCAGTCTGAGAGCGAGAAGTCTGTCAGCTCCCTCAAGGAAGTAGACCAGGTCGGCGATGTCGTCAGCTGTCGCTAAGCATTTCCAGCAGATCGACACACCCAGCGCCACATCGCACGAGTACCTGATGGAAATAATGCGATAGCTCCGTTCCGCAGAAGGCTTGCGCATCGTTGCTCTCCCGAACATACCTGGCCAGTGCCGGCATCAGACTCGCGTCGTGGGTCACGACGATCTTAGGATATGGCGCCAGCAGCTCGCGATTGGCATACGAGCAGATGCGGTCCGTCGAACGGACCGGGCACAGCCTAAACCATACACACAATCAGAACAACAGTCAGACACGCCGCCATTCCATGTCATGTGATATAATGTCATGTGTATGCCTCTTTACACGTTGTATAGACTTGGGCATGAAACCGCCAGCATGGCAACCTGCTTGACAGTGAAGTTGAATGGCCCTCCAAGACGGTAAATGGTGTTGAGGACCCTCTTGTCCGACAAACAACGCACAAGGCCACTCTGATAGACATCGAGGCCAAATGTGTCTTCGTTCGGGGATTTTACAGCAGTTTGGTCTGTGTCCCTACCTACCTGTGTGTTCTGCTGCCGCACAGCCGCTGTCTGCGGGTCCTGCTGCGATAAGACCCACCGATCGATCGCCAGCTGCTCCAAAGAACACACATACAGAGTGAAAAGCAGTGATCGAGTGGTACACATAGGAGTACGGCAGACCTTGCGGCGACGAGTTTTGGCGAAGAGGTCCACCAACTGCTCCAACGCCTACAGGATTACAAACACGCGGACGTGCTGCGTGTGTTGGCAGGCCACCGCACGGGATCATGTCATCTCACCTCCCGAAAGGTACGGTTGCCCACTTCTGACGGGTCCGTGAGCGGCAAGGTGGACTCCAACTGAGCATGAAGGGCACCACGCACCTCGGTCAGCGTGGTGGTTGTGTGGAGGATCTGACCTGTAAAATACGTTCGACGATCGGATTCTCTTTGGCCTTACCGCTCATCACCTGTCGGTCACCATATCTGATGCACAAATGAAGACGCTTCTCTCTCGATGGGCGCATTCTGTGGCAAACGAGTGACAGACGCACCTGGCGAGGCTGTTCAGAACGACTATTGCATCGTTGGCAGGGCTGCCAAGGACGCGGAGGTCTTGCCTCGCGGCCCTCGACAGCAGGGGATACATGAGCTCAGCCAGACCGTCACACGATGTGTACTGAGCATACAAACGAATACCGGAGGGGCAAAGCCTTACACATTGTCAGATCGCCACTGACCGTCTCACGATTGATTATGTGTTCGATCACATGGAGAGAGTTTCCGAGGACGCCTGATCCCCGCATGCTATCGCCCTCATCGGTCAGCCTGTCGTTCTGCAAGATGCTCATCGTTGCCGGAAGGAAGCCCGCCTGCGCAACACGCTCGGAGTAACCACACTCTGACCACACACACACGTCAGGAGAAGCCACCGCGTAAGGGAGCAGATGTTGTCAACAATTATGTCTCCTGGTACTCACCGGCAATCACCATCGGTGTGTGAAGGCACATTCGAACGTCCTCAACTGTCCACTCAACAGCAGGGTCTTTCAGCGTGACAGCCATCTTTCTCAAGGCAGGGGGCCTCGCCAACACGGCACGACAAAGGGACTGCAGGGTAGCACTTCCTGCATACACACGTAGGCACACACAGAGTGGTGTGACGAATCAGGGAGCCCCCTCTATGTCCCAGTGACGCCCACTGGGCAGATCATCGGTCGAGCAACGCGCTCTAAAGCGGGCGGCTGCAAAGGCGACGCTGATCGCCCGAAACGCCCTCGACAGGATCAGCAGATCAGTGCTGGTCGCCATCGCCTCGATCACCACATCGATATGCTGGGGCAGGATCGGCTCGAATGCAGCTGAATGGCACACACATGCGCACACACACAGACACGTACACAGACAAACACACCATATGGCACACCTTTAGGGTCCATCAAGATGGTGGGCGCCACTTTGTGAGTGATGTCGAAGACGCGCCCCGGCTGCAGCCCTCTGCCCACGGCTGCATCCACCATTACACCAAACAGCGGCAGCCACTCCACACCGTACCAATAGTGCGTCTGATGGAGCCGTTCGAGGAAGGACATTGCCGCAGACTGATGCGATGGGTTGTCACGGTCACGCAATAGCGCCACAACACCAGCAGCAAGGCTGCTCTCGGATGGCTTGTGCAGGTCAGCATCCAACTCTCCCCTTCCCGCTTGTGCCATAAAGTGGAAAAGATCGTAAGTAGGAAGGTTGCGCTTCGACTCATCCATGGCGGCCACCGAGTCGCTGAATCGCCGCACTGACGCATTATCAGACGGCAGCCGCGGCACGTCTGTGAGCTTCTCCATGTGTCGCACAAAGAGGCCGATATCACCAGCTACGATAGCATCACGAGCGGAGCACAGGCTGGCAGCAGCTGACTCAACGACTGACGGATCGATAGCTGCCGATGGGTGCAGAGCTGGCACTTCATCATCCGAAGAGGAGGCCAGCACGCCGCCGATTGTGCATCCAGAGCCCGAGCGGGCCTGCCGCGCGTTGGCCTTGGGTTGCTTCTTGGGTGGAGCGGGGACGGGGCCGGAGGGAGGGGACGGGTGGGAGGGACTCTCGGACGGCTGCTGCTCTGATGCCGCTGCTGCGGCGAGTGGCGACGGGTTGATGCTGCTGGTGAGGTCGACGGCTTGCTGGTGCTGCTTCTGCATCGATGAGAAAGTACTGGACTGAATAGGTGTAGAAGAGAGCTGATCCTGAAAATCACACACACACACACACACGCACACACAAACAAACAGAGAGAGAGAGAGACCACTCAGGCATCCTCGTGTGCACTTCTGCCTTCGTGTCTGTCTGTATGTACCGGTGTGGTGTCGACAATGGCATCTGAATCATCTGTAGGCCCATGGCCGTGCTCGGCCCCTTCCATCAGCGCAGGGCAGCCTCCCTGCTGCTGCATCGCCACGCCGCCCACAGCTGATGTGCTGGCTGCTGGTGAGGGGGTGGAAGTGAGCTGCACAGACTGGGCACGATGGCATGGACTGCTGCATTGGTGCTGAGTCTGCGGGTCGCTGTCAGCCTCTTGGTGGAGAGATCCCACTGCTGGTTCGGCAGACGACGCACTAACTGGACGGCCGCCATGGCTGCTCCCTGACGATTCATCGCCGCGCCGCTCACTCCCACCAGATCCCTCCTCTGCTGACGTGCCTTCCATAGGCACCTGTTGCTGCTGCTGTGCCTGTGGTTGCTCCTGTTGGTTCTCAGGGGTGCCGTCGGGGCTGCTGTCTGCCGTGCGGCCGCTGGCGGCCAGTCCTTCTGAATCGGCATCCATGGACACGAGCGCTCGGTAAGTTATCTACCTGCATGAGTCAACGCCAAAACAGACACACACGACAGAGGTACAGGTTCATGGTCCTCGTTTCACACAGCGATGCTTACAGTGAGTCTGCGCGGCCGACAGGTGGAAGATTTCCGACATCCCGTCAGGATGCAACACCACAGCAGCTGCGGGAAAGGCCAACAACACCACTCGTGCACCTTCCGGGAAAACAAGCTCGCAGATCGCCTTCAGCCAGAAACCATTTTGGGCGAGAGATCTCGCTGTCCTGGTGGCAGACGACAAACGCAAAGCCTTTGGCTGAGCCATTGTCGCTGAGATCGTTTTTTTCGATGAGTGGATCACTGGCAATTTCTGCCGCATTGCCAGCATCCGGCAATTCATCGGCAGCACCCTTTCTCATTCACCTGTGCATCTGCCTGATCGTCGGCATCGCAAGCCAGGCGCTGTGTGTTGCGAGTGCGGCTGAGTCTATCATAGTTCGGGTGCGCTTGCCGACGGGAGAGCTCAAGAGAGTCACCATGAGGAGAAACGAAAGGCTGCAATCCATCAGAAGAAAGGTCAGCGGACAGGACGAACAAGCCCGTTAGGCACCTGCTGTGTGTCGTTTGGTCGTTCAGTTGGGTCTTGACCGAGATGCCTCTTCGTTCCCGTTTGCAGAGGATCCCCGCGGCGCCTCCAAGCTCAGCGACAGCGCCATTCTGCAGAGGCTGAAGATCCAGAACGGCCAGATCATCTACCTCGTCCGACCGCCGTCGACTGAGAAGCCCTCATTGATGCCGCCAGCTGAAGCACCATCAGAGAGGCTGCCTTCTGAGCCACCCGCTGCGAGGCCGACAACCGCCAAGCACGTGCGCGATGGCTATATGCCCTACCCTGAGCTGTCATCGAGGCGCAGCGGTCGGCTGAGGCGGCGGGCCAGTGGTCGTGTGGGTCAGATGTCGATGCAGGACCTGCAGGCGACGAGCAAGAGGCTGCAGGTCAAGGCGCAGACTGATAAGGTGGTCAAGCAGGTAAGTGAACGGCCGACGGATGAAGCAGCGGCTGAATGATTCATTGCTTTGTTGCTTCATTGCTTCGCTGCTTCACTGCTTCGCTCATTCATTCACTCATTCATTGCGATCCGTCCCTTGTACGGTGAATGCAGGTGAGCGTGTCATCGGGCGGTGCTGAGTGGTTCCTGTCCGGCATCAGGGCCTTTGCTGCGGCGAGGAACGGCACAGAGACTTCTGTGAGGGGTGCTGCCTTGCTGTACGGCACGGTGGACGCGTCGACCGGCCGCATCACCGTGGAGGCCGTCACGCAGCCGTCGGCAATGGCATGGAGAGAGGGGGAGGAATGCGACCTCGACCAGGTCGGTGTGTGCCGAGACACTTGAACGGCAGGATCTATCTGCGTGTGTGTGGATGCAGCTCTGGTCGCCCTCAAACAGGGAACTTGACAGTGCTGACAGGTCAGGAGACAACAAGAACCACGCGACGCTCGTGACGCTCTGCTCACTTTTCTCTTCTTTCTTTTCAGGGTCGCCGAGATGCTCGGTCTTCGGCTGGTGGGCTGGATCTTTACGAGCCCCGACGAGCAGACACCCGTGGGCAGCACTGAGATCATCACCGCCTCGCTGCTGCAGCGGCGGTGCATGCAGCGACACGGCAGGGAAGAGGGGGAGATGTTCGTGTCCGTGGCCGCCATTAGCACAGGCAATGACGTCGCCCTCGAGGCCTTCCATATGAGCAGACAAGCCGTACAGGTGCGCCTGAGCACAAACTCACGAGGCAATTCACTCACGCGAACATCCACTTGTGCTGCATGTCTGATGTACTGATGCAGTTGGCGTCGGATGGTCTGTTTGTGCTGCCCTCGCCGGCCAGCAACGCCTCCCTCATCGCCACCAGCGAGCCTGTGTCTGTCGAGGGCCGCGAGACAACCGATCTGGACGTTCTCTTCTGCCTCATCCCTGTGGCCATCCAGTCTCACGAGGGCTGGCTGCAGAACAGCTTTCCGTCACCTTTCGTGCCACAGCAGAATGGAGAGGAGTCGCTGGCGGCCGTGCTGCGTCGTCATATGCTGGGTCGGGACGTCAGGCGGCGGCCACTGAGTGCGCGGCTGAGGGACTTCAACCTGCTGCTCTATGTTGCCAAGTTTGTCAGCAGGTCAGCAGCCACGTCAGATCTGTGGTGGCTGTGAGGAGAGTGCTCATTCGATGCATGTGTTGGTGTTGTCTGGTTGCAGGGAAGCGGATTTGCCGGTGTTGTGTCGTGCTGTGCGTGATGTGCATGACGGGACGCCCCTGTCGTCACATTATGAGATACTGCTCGAGACCATAGCCCACACCTGAACTGAGAGAGAGACAGTGTTCCCGGGACTGTGCGGTGTGTGTCTGTGACTACTATGACTTTTGAGCATCCAGGCAGCATTTGAGCGATGTCTCTCTCTGTGTGGAGCAGATGTGTACACGAGACACATTCATCGAATGGAGTCACCCAATTGGCACAGGTCAAACACGAGTAACATTGCTGGCGTGTTGATTTGAACCCTAACGATGCGTCGTGTTAATGTATTTTGTGTGTATGCGTAAGGCAGTGCACATTCACGCACACGAATAGAGAGCCTTTGTATGAATGCCAATACATGTCAACGTCCACTCGATCAACGGTACAAATGAGCACCCATTGTATTCACGCCAGCGGTCCATCGGCAGGCAGCTGGTGCCCTCCATGCTTCAAAAGAATGAGTCCACCGAGAGACAGAGACAGAGAGAGGGAGACAGAGGGAGAGAGAGACAGAGAGAGGGAGAGAGAGGAAAGCCAAACACCGTCAGCAAGAAAACCGACAGGGGGGCCCTGGATAGACATTATGCAAGTCAGTGTATACGTATACGTGTGTGTACACCGATATATATAAAGGTGTGTACAGAAGACATACAAATGCGTACAGACACAGAGAGAGAGGGGGGGGGTGGAGAGGGGGGGTCGACGTGAGGCAAGGCAGCAGAAAATACGGACCAAGCGCACATGCATCTTACCTGCAGCCAGCCATCCCTCCACGATTCACCACATGTGTCCGCACAGCACGAGTAAGATGAAGAAGGATTCGAGCACATCGCTCCAGTATGTATGCATTGTGTGTGCATGACAGCATTCAGCAAAAACGCCTGCCTCGGCGACCGAGTGGCATTCATGAAGTCACACACAAAATGAATTCAGGACGACACTCAGACAGTGAGGGAGAAAGGCAACCCGCCTCCCCGCCAGCAACCAGCCACACGCATCAACGCCGCGGACCAACAAGCAGACAAGAAGGACTGACTGCATGGAAGCAGCCTGTCTGTCTGTCCGTCTGTCAACTGGTGTGATGACATGGGTGTGTGGGTGTGGATGGGCGAAGAGTGTGAAGTACACACTGCACGGCCACAGTGTGAGTGTATCCATTCATCCATCCATCCATCACGAAGCAGCCCAGCCCACAGACGCTGATGCAGATGCAGACGCAGACGCAGACGCCGCCGCGGCCTCGCCACCTGCTGAGATTGCATCAGCTGGCACAAACACGCAGCCATACGTGCCCCACTTCGTTTGCTGCGTACCTCTGCTGCCCTCTCCGCTGCCATCATCATCAAAGTCCTCAAAGTCGTCCTCCACATCGTCATCATCGCCATCGAAATCTGCATTACACACACGGATGATAGAGAAAGGCGTCAACCATCCATCCATCCATCCATCTGTGTATGCCCCTTCCTGGTTCCGAACCGTCGTCGCCGTCCAGATCGTCGTTGTCGGAATCTGCACCACACACCAACAGCAGTGAAGACAATCCATCCATCCGTCTATCCATCCATTTCCGTGTGTCCTGTGTCCGTACCGTCGTCACTGTCATCATCCTGCGGCTGCTGTCCCGCTCCCGGTGCGCCGTCAAACAGGATGGCTGAGATGACGGGCCCCAGCACCGCACGCGCCAGCCGAGTGGACACTGGGAAGCGGTCCTTGAAGGCGGCGCCACCCACACCACACACAGCCGACTCGGTCGTGCAGATGCGGACATCCGCTGCAAAAGAATAAGAGGAGAGGACAGAGATGAGAGTGAGTGTTGTATGTATGGTGTATGGGATGGACTGACTAGCGAGGGGAGGCCTCGCCGTGGGGATGGCCACCGGATCCCCGATAAACATCCATGCGACGAATGAGTGGCCGGCGTCGGTCAGAATGAGATGACGCCGAACTGCGGGCAGAGTGTCGGGGCAGACTGATGCGGTGGTGGTGGTGCATCCCTCCACTGGTGTGTGGGGGGACTGCGTCAGCAGGTTGTGCAGCCGGTCGTTGTCGACATGGCTAACACACACATAACATACACTCGTATGACGTGGCAATGCCCACACAGAGTGATGCCCCGCCTCACTGGTCGAGTGATTGGTTCGTTGTGGTCATCGTGTGAGTCGTCTCGAAGTGGTTGAGGGCGATGCTCTTGACCCACGACGAAACAGACGAGAAGAAAAGCTGACCCGACGGCCGCCAGCCAAAGAGGTCGGAATATGCAATGCGGCTGCCGACGGGCGGGTCGTGCTGCTGTCGGTGCTGCTGGTAGAGAAAGTCGGGAGGGAGGGGCGGGTCGACGTCGATCTCGAAGCCGTCCTCGTCCTTGACGGCCCGCAGTCTGTTGCCGTGCTGGAAAAGCTGGAAGGTCGTGTTGTTGCCGAATTGGATGTGGGGGCCGACCATCTTCAGCTGAGCCAACACACGGGGAGCGGCCAAATACGCCTGCACACAAAATACACCAACACACCACACACCGATTAAAAGCCATCCTCTCTGCCTTCCTCCCTCCCTCCCTCCCTCCCTCGGTTGGCTTACCGCCTTGTTTGGGTATTGGTGCAGATCGCCCGCAGTGAGCCTCACAGGCAGCTGGCAGTTGCCGCACTGCCCTGCCAGCTCAATGGCCTCGCTCGTCTCACTCCAGCCGCCCACCTCCATCACACACAGCGCCGCCAGCATGTCACCCTTGCCCATCTGCTGGTCGTCGAATGTCAGCAGCTGCTGTCCGTTGGCCGTCCGCCGCAGCCCCGCCTGTCTGCTGAGCTCATCGTCTGTTGTCCATTGGCTGAGCCGCTGCCGTAGCTGAGACGTTTGGAAGAGCCCTCTCGCCCATTTGCAGGTCTTCCTCAGCCGCAGGATGTCATTGAGACTGAGAAGGAAGAATGTGCGCCGGCCGACGAGGACGTACTCGACGGGGTGCTGCTGCTGGTTGGGATGCTGCTGGTTGGGCTGCATCACGACCTTCGGGACTGCCCTCCCACAACCGCGAGCTTGAAGCGGAGAGCTGACGAAGCGCTTTTTGCCTTTCCACACGCGGCTGTCCACGCTCTCACCACGCGGAAGATCTATGATCGGCGAGGTCGTGATCTCCGTGGTCGTGATCTACGGAGATCACGACCAGAAGGGTGCGTCTGTCTGTCTGATGACGATGCCTGACTGCATGGCCATCCACTTGTGTGTATGTGTGTGTGTCTGCAAGACCCAGTTGCGCGTGCCTTCGGCACGCCGGCCTGGACGAGGATGACCTCCTTTTGGCGCCTGATGTGTGAGCTATGGTCTAGTCCTCGACCGCCATTCCTCTCCGGCGTGATCGCAGGCAACAGATGTGAGATAGTGATATCAGTGAGTCAGTCACTGGATGACACTTCTCCGAGTGTTCTGTGTGCAGGCTGTTGTCAATCGCCGCCCACTTCTTGTATTTGAATGTCTCATTTATCGAGGACCACGCACCAGCGGCAGCCATATTCCTGCGGAATGAAGATCTGCTAAGCCAGGTGAGAGCCAACGCCAACAACATGACTTCCTGCCCTACCATATTGGGTGCTGTCCTCGTGTCTGCAGATCGATTGATCGCGGTCTACGTTTTATATTTCCGAGATCAACATTATCTGAGACAGTATGAGATAGTAGAGATACTGCTTGTGACCATGGGCCACATCTGAACTGAGAGAGACAGTGTGCCCGAGACTGTGCGATGTGTGTCTGTGACTAATATGGTTATGTGTGCCACTGGAACATGGGACACATAGTGTCCGCCAAAAACAAAGACGCTTGGAGTCATGAAAATCGGTCAAAGCGCAAGCATTGTACGAGAGAGAAGGGCCAGACTACTGCAGAAAAGCCTTGGCGACGCAACTCAAACAAACATCGGGATATAAAATGTAGGCAACGATCAGCACTCACTCTCCCTTCTAGGGTGTGTGGTGTGGTGTGGTATGGGTCATGTGTTCCTTCGAGGGAAGGGTTATCTCCTAGTCGGTCTGGGTCTCGACATGCCATGCGCACATCTAAGGGAACATAATCATGACCAACATACGGGCACATGCAATGAGCTCCGACGTAAGTGAATGGGTCGCTTGGCTGCCTTACTGATCCTCGATTAACGTGGTGAGCCGTCCGCCTGAACGTCCTGCCTAGCCGACACGCACGGCGCAAACCTGCCCGGGTGATGGCTCTGAATTCCCCACCATCACCACCGCCCCGGTTGCCGTCACCATAGCCGTCGGCACGGGCGATAACTTGGAGGGCTGCGACTCACTCGTGGGGCTGTCCATCTCGGGCGACAGCCCGAGGGGGAATGGGTGGCTCCTCTCGATCAATCAGGCCAGAATGAGGTGACACACACACAAAGGTCTCGGCTGCCGCAGCGTGCAGCACCTGCACAGACACACAGAGACAGGCACAGAGACACATGAGTGCGCTGCGAGTCCTTTGTGTTTCTCTTCTCTTGACCCTGCTTTGTACCTGCTGCTGCTCAAATGGATGCGATGTGGCTACAGCTACTCCAGGACCACCAAACGTCTGCATTTGGAGCCACACACGAACACCACAGCAACATCACTGACAACACCTCTGAGATCTGTGTTTCTGTTGCTATCGTACGTACCGATGCTGGTGGTGCATTGGATGGAGCAGCATGGTCATGTGCCGCACAAGGGGCGGCTGCCGACCCATCACCACCATCGCCCCCACCATGACCATCTACGTCCATCTGCTGGCCGTTCGGCGAGGCAGTCTCGACAGCAAAGGGCACGGGCGCCGCCCTCTCCTCCCGGCCGGCCGGCCTCAGGCACAGCTCAGGTAAAGGGCACCTGCGTCAACAACACGACAGGAGGCATGAGAAGACCAACACAAGAGCGCTCTTGAGAACGCAGGGAGGATTCACTTTGCTGCTGTCGCTTCCTTACCGCATTCGTGGCCGCCTCGGCCCCATGGCCGTCAGCACCGGGCACACCGACATCCCTCTCGCCCACCCCACTGCCCTCTCCATCTTCCTGCCGTGGCGTCCCACCTGGCGTTGCCGCTGGTGCGTGGTCCTCGATAAATGAGACATTCAAATATAAAATGTAGGCGGCGATTGACAACAGCCTGCACACAGAACACTCGGAGAAGTGTCATCAGCTGACTGACTCACTGATGTCACTATCTCACCTCTGTTGCCTGCGATCGCGCCGAAGAGGAACGGCGGTCGAGGACTAAACCATAGCTCACACATCAGGCGCAAAAAGGAGGTCATCCTCGTCCACGCCGCCTTGCCGAGCTCGACAGCGTCGCTGTAGATGGCCCAGCAGCTCATGGAGACGTCCTGGTTGGCCGGCCGACCTGACTTCCCAGACGCCTCCTTTGTCGCCTTTCACCCGTGTCCACCACTCCCACTCGTCGGGTGTGGGGTTGTAGTTCCAGCCCTCCTTGGCCGGACCGCCGTAGCTCACCACCTTGGCGTGCCCCCACTTGTACGGCACCTGGTCGGCGGGGATGTTGCTGCCGTACATCATGGGCGGGTGGGCCGGGGGCGGGGAGACCACCAGAGGTGGTGCTCGTGTGCTGGAAAGGTGGGGTGGGGTGGGGTGGGTCGTGAGTGGGGGTT